CTCCGGCTGACCGGGCCTCCGAGTCCCCGGAGCCGTCGCTTCGTGGCGCGGCCCCGTGTTCGGTGCCCCGGCGCCGAGAGGGGCCCGGGCCAAGCCGGGCCGCCCGCTGTAGCGTGGTTGTGGCCTTTTATCCTCAGCACGGGACCCTTGCTTTGCTTCGGTTTCCCAGCCTTCCTTTGGTCGTCAACTTCCTAAAATTGCCCTGTTGGCCCAAGGCAGCCACTCTTCAGACGGCCTGAGTGGGCCCTGCGAAGTAGGATGGCAGTCATGTGCCTTAACTCCTGCTCCTCACCATTTACGGCCGCTTGAATTAACATAACCCAAGCTTCATAAAACTCTCAAACCGTCTGCATTCTGAATTAACTCCAGAACTAGAGATGCTTTAGTACTCTCATTGTAGGTAATAATACAGCCAATGTTGGAGCAGGTTGCTATGATCTTGGGAATGTAAGTCTGCCCCTATATTAAAACAATTCCATATCCACGAGTATAGGGAATGGATATTGCTGTATCTACCATAATTCGGATAAGGAAACAGAAGTTTGGAACAATCCAGAAATGGGCCCAGTGTCAACAGTATAGAAATGATGAAACTGAAATAGGGACACCCTGATTCACACCCTTGACTTCAGCTGTTATCTTCGGGTTGCTAGATCTCTTTGCCACCGTAGATTTTCATAATTGAGTGCTTTGTTGGCTAACTGTTATGAGTAGGATTCCCAAGTATTTACCTTGTTTTGAAACATGTGAGTTACTGTTGCCTTTCTGAAGATGGTAGGAAGAAAAATGGTGGTTAGTGGTGTGCACATATGTGGCATCAAGCAGTGATCACTTGACAGAAATTGTGCTAGGTTGCCCCAGCGTGATCTCATTGTGCATAAAACCACATCACTGCAACATTTAGTCTGTTTACTTATCAAGCAGTGTTTTGGTTTTGGTGAAAGAGAGCTTAGTGTGCATATTACACAGCCTCATAAACCAGTTCAGACCACATTTCCTTCCAGTTAGGGGTCTACAGTATATTATGGGATAGTTTACCCTTTGTCTTGATGATGCATTTGTCTGCTCAATCTGGGTTTTGTTTTGTTTTCAGGTTCATTAATAATCCTCTGACAGAGCTTTGTGGTAGAATTAGCTAAGTGAGGGCAGGATCCAGTTCTATCCCAACTGCTTATTCCAGTTGCCCTTTATTCCTGATTACACACAAGCTCCACTGTTAAGACACTTGATTTACATTGTATAGTCTAACATCCCATCCTGAAGCAGCAGCAGTTCACATATTAGAAAACAAACAAACCCTTGCCATTAACTGGCCAACTCGGGATCTAAAGCTCTTTGGGAACAATATTCACACCCAGATTTTGTTTTGTTTTGGTTTGTCGAGGCAGGGTTTCTCTGTGTAGCTTTGCACCTTTCCCTGGATCTCGTTCTGTAGACCAGGCTGGCCTTGAACTCATAAAGATCTGCCTGCCTCTGCCTCCCGAGTGCTGGGATTAAAGGCTTCCACCCAGATTTTATCCCTTACATTTAGTGCATGTATCTATTTAAAATAACTAGAGTTGAGAATTGACAAATGGATTTAGAAGTAACTGTCTCCTTGATGACGTACTAGGGTTTTCACAGCACCCTTCATCAGCTTGTGTAGTGTCTGTTCTTCAGAATCTATTTGGAGCAATAGTCTGCTCAGTGTTGACAGTTGTATTGTGTTTAGACATTTCATTAAAGTTAAGGAAAAGCAAAGATTCTAAAGACAAAAGGATACACAAGAGACTTCTGCTAGTTTATGTGCTGTGACATTTATCCATCTTAGGAATTTGTTGTCTCTGGATGTAGAAGATCTAGTGTTCGTTGAATTATCTTTACATTTAGAATGAGAAATAACCTTGAAATGCATTTGTTATGCAAGTGTATGTTTCTTCTCTAGTTATCAGTTAAATAGCCTTTCCTTAATTATGTTAGGGAGATTTTACAGTATACAAAGTTAGTCCACTGGATGAAACCACTAAATATTTATAAGTGAAAACTTTTGATTACAAATTAAAAGAAAAAAATAAACCTGAAAAAATATCACTGAAAAACTTTGTTTCTTTGAGACTGAACATGTTCTTTCATATTTTTGCTGTTGTCATGATACGGATTCTCTGTTGATGTTGAAATGTGATACATGGACCACCAGTCTTGGCATTGGCATTGTTTGGGAGAATGTTAGAAACACTTACTAGAATTTGAATCTTTTGGTATTTGAGTTTTCTGTTCAGTTATTAGTACCCTGATTTACTTTCAAGTGCTTTCCTTTTGCAAAATTTAGTTTTTCATGTGATTGCCCTTTGTCACAAATACACCATTGACAAATTCAATAATAGAATAAATAAGCCAATCTGGAGTTACTTATCTCTGCCGACTATAGGACATTTTACTTCCAAGAGCTTTATTAGTCTGAGTGCTCCATAGTGGGGCTGACCAGTCTCTGGATTAACTGTGTGTAGACTGTACACAGTAGAGCCTGTCGCAGGTAAGTCATTGAATTATATATTCATGGTTTGTCTGTTGGTGCAGCTTTTCCTAGGTAAGAACCTGCTTGTTGAGATTTCAATTTAGTGATCTTAAAGAAAGATAAATTTTATTTTCAAAAGAAAAGTTAATGATTGGATGGAGGCCTCATTGTTTCATCTGAATAGCTCTTCTTCAGTGTGAAGTAAAACATCTGGAATGAATCTCTGAAGGTACAAAAGAACAAAAGTTCCATTTATCCCCCAATTCCCTTGTTTAGTCTGAATCTGTTACATTGGCAATTCCTTACAATTATTCTAATTGGTGGGTATGAACTATAATGGTCATTAAGTAGGTGCTGTTACAAAATCATGTTTAGAATCTTTGTGGAATGCAGTCTACACAATTTCTAGTTGTTTATGCTAAGTGAGAATAGGCTTTATAAGGAAGCCATTCAAATTCAAAGTTCTGGTAAGACTTGTTTTAATATATTTCTGGAGGTCTTCACAAGGTTGAAGTTTTAGACCCAGTTAACAATTTTGTCTAGAGAGTATTTCAAATTTCAACCATCGTGCACTTAGGTTGGTGGTTATAGAGTGGGTTATAAAATTGAAGTTGTTATATGATTGAAACCTCTAACTACTTTTTCCTTATCAGACAGATAGTGAAAGGATTTAGAAGTGGATGCTAAAAGTGGAAAGAAACAGTGGTCCTGTAGATTATTTATTTATTTTCTTTTTCCTTTTCCAGAGCTAAGATGTTTTGGTTTATTTTGTCTTGCTTTTTTAGAATATTTAAGTGAAACTGAGTTTGCCTCATAGAGCAACAGGATTTGCAAGAGTTCTACTTTTTCTATAATCAGTGATACTCATGTATACACCAAAATATCAGGAGTACACTACCACCCATCTCTTCATCCTATCAAATCAAATTCCTATGGTAGAGAATGTTGAGTCAGACAATGGGCTGGTGATCCCTGAAGCTTCTACTGGTGCCTGGCAAAGTAGGGCATCTTGTAGAGGTCTAAACATCTGGTGGATGTTTTAGTGTATCACATTCACATGACTCATGGAGGTAAAAATGGCCAGCATTTTGTGAGTAGGAGCTAAGGAATTTAAATGTATGTTATACATAGATGTGTGTAGGGAAGAATTGTCATAAGAACAGTACTATTAAAATATTAACATGAACACTGGGTACTAACTGTACTAAGCAATTATCAGAAAGATTTTTTTAGATAAATGAAGGAGGAAGACAGAACCATTGTTGACTGCTTTCCATACTGTGCCAGTTTGTTTACAAAGGGGGCTTTGCTGTTAACAGTTTTTAAATATAGTCTAGTAGTCATATAAGCAAGAGCATCCAACATTTAAGTTAGTTACATGGTACTGGTATGAAATAAGAAATTTGTGTCACTAAAACCTTGAAGATACCTAATCTATCTACACGGGAAGGTTCCTATTGAATATCTGTTGTTAGAAATTGTATCCAAGGAAGTAAGTTTTTGAATTGCAGTTAGTAATTAGTAGCTGTTTGTGGAGAGGGACATTAATTAATACCATGTAAATATTAATTCCAATCGCTAAGCCTTTAATGCATCTATTTTCTGATTTTCTCATTCATTTATATTACTGTGTGCTAACGGACTCTTAATTCAATGCATTATAATTTATTACTTTTATTCTTACCTTCTAGTCCCATATTTGAATATGGAAAACTCCTTCAAGCTTGTTTTTGTGTGATTTTTGATACTTCCCCATCATTTTCTCTGCACTTGCTAGTATTTGACACAAGATATTTGAAGCTAATCTGGTATTTCCCGACTTTGGTTGGAGTGGAGAACAGGATCTTGATTCCAGTTATGCATGTTGCTTTTGGGTGGTGTGTGTGTGTGTGTGTGTGTGTGTGTGTGTGTGTGTGTGTGTGTGTGTGTGTGTAAAACCAAGTTCGCATTGATCCCTCCACTTGGAATTCAGAACCACAGGTTCCTTGTTGCTTTTTGTTGTCCTCTTCAACATTTGTAACTCCATCCTCTAGTAACTCAACACCTAGCTACCATATCTTAAATATATTGTCTATTTCTCTTAAATGTGTTGTCTGTTTGTTTAATCCTCTTTTCTGCTAGCCTGTAAAGTTCTGCTCACCTTACTTGGGCTTAGCATTCTATATGCCATGGCTCGCTCTCTCCTCCTTGCTCTAGTATGGATGACTTCTTCATTCTCTTCAGGCTGTGATACACCAACCACACACATTGCCCCTTCACAGAAATGTTGTCTTTCAAAAGCTTGTGCACCTCATCTAAAATCAGATATGTTTTAAATTTAAACATATATTCTCAAATTTCCTTTGAGAAGAGTTATATGATATATATTTCCATTTATACTTCACCTTTTCTCTATTAAGCTTTCTT